CTTGACGGAGCCCCCCCTGGGTTTAAGGTCGCTGGCTTAGCCTGGATTCGGGCAAAGCCCGAATCCAGGCGAAAACCTAGCGGGCATGTTTTTGCGAATTCGCTTAGATATATATCACCTAGAAATTTGATACCATTGCAACTGTACGCTTTTATTTTGCTAACTATAGTACAGCCGCAATGGTATCAAATTTCTAGGTGATATCTATGCTACAACGTTTAACCCCATCCAATAATCGTCATTGTTTGACTCAACACTGAGAGCAAAGAAGAAAAGACATTTGAAATATCTGTGGCCTAGAGACAAATTTAAGAGTTTGTTTAAGACCTGCAGTAGACTGCTCTGTTTAACGTTCCAGTTACTCAGGTTCTCACTAGTTAACTTACTGGTCTTTGCAACCTGTTCCACTCTGTAGTTGAGTCCGGAAAACCCCGTACTTTTCCTTGAACATTCTGTGAAATCAATGCCAATGTCTAAGTGACTTTTTAAATCTAATTATAATATGTTGTTGTATGTATGTCAAGTAATATATCAGACACGAGAGATAGTGTCTCATCACATTTCCAAACACTGAATTGTGCTTCATGATGTGACGAAACACTCAAACCTCTATCAACACTAAAACAAAGAAGGAGTAATAGAGAAATAAAATCATAAGAATTTTTGCTTATCAGGATCAGGTAGATATGCAGACCGTGCGCGGCGAGTCTTTCTCTCATGTGTCCATTTGAGTTGCGCTCGACGAAATAAGTACAAGACATAGTATAAGTACAGGATTAAAATGTCCGTGAGCGTCATTGTCAAATCGTGATATTTTTAGTGGGAAAAAAGTGAAAGTAGCGGAAGCAAAGTCAACACTGAGGTAAACGCCGCAAGCTCATACTTTCTCAAAACCATGACAGTGACTCTGTTTGGACATCTGATCTTTGTTAGCATAAATTTCTACGATTTTATTTCAGTCTTCGTTTTCTTCATAGTTTTAGACTGAGAAGATATATCAACAGTCCGGAATATCCCAATAAATTAGGACAACTGCGATGTCACGAAACTTGCGTTTCAACCAATGAGAATGCGTGTTTTGGTTAGCGTGTTGTGTTTCACATCAAACCAAGAAATTCAAGATGGCGGACAAAGAGAGTTGCCAATGCTTTCCAACGCGGCGATGAATGCGAGTCTTCAGGAGGTATACAAAAGGAAAGTTGTGTTTTATATTACAGACAATTCTGCCCAGATAACGATTATCCTCGAACCAAAGGAAGCACTACGGAACGCAATTTAAATTGAGAATTGCGGGCCAAGTTTGACGAGCTGCTGTCATCATTCCTTGCAAAGAGACCATAGAATCGGTAAGCATCTTTACTCTGCATTTTTTTAAGCACAGAAACGATCGATACGTGAAGTGAGACTTTCCTCTTATCTAGGGATTATCGGGCCGAAATCGACAGGACGCGCGCGTTCTTCTATGCCAGCATTACATGGTCAAATTTTATACGTCCAAAATACGTTTAGCCTAAATCGAGGAAATGAAATCATTAAACATAATTTTCAATAAAGTTTACGAGTGAGAAATTCTTGTTCCGTTATTCAAAATATACTAAGCTACAAAATGTAATCAAAACTTTACATGTTTTGTCAGATGCATGGATAACCAAGAATCTGTTAATGTATTTTTGGAAATCTGAAATTTCTCCCTTTTGGTATATATTTCAAATATTTCTTGTATCTCTTTGTTTCTTTGCTAAAAGATATCGTATCTGATTTCCACATTTAAATTACTGATCAAGCAGTCAAGGCAGTGTTTGACCACATTTCCAAACACTTCGCAGTTCGTCAAAAATGCTCTACTACGCGTCGTTTTTAAATCTCTCTTTCGTCTCTGTGTTTGAAAATGTGGTGAAACACGGTCTTTCATGTTTGATATATTACTTCCGGCTTTACAGCTTTCTGCGATGTACTTTAGTATTTCATTCAAAACTAGCGGCCAAACATCGCAGTCATAGTGGGTATAAAAGACCTCCCCGTGATTCTGGTAGTTACATCTTCATCCTCAGCCGGGCTTGGAAAACTCGTCTATAAAGAGGCGACTACCAACATGGGCACGGAATACATGCCACTTACCACAACTTTCCGCTTTTCTTTGAGTTTTTGTATTCTGCACAATTCAACAGCAATTGAACTTCCTATCTTAGCATTGTTTTTCATAAGCGCCATGTCTGAAACAGGAAGTTAAAGATGTATAATAATGGTAACATACATGTAAGGAGCTCGGTTTGGTGGTAGGTCCACCCCCAAAAAAGACAAATTACGCCTCACACAAACACAGGGAGCCCTCACATCCGTTTAGAACATGAATAAAAGATGAACCTACCTTTATCGCGCGTGTTTTGTGTTTTGTGGCGGCCATTTTGAATTTTTAATACGCGCGCGGTGTGCTAGTGCGAGGTCTGGAACCGAAATTACGGAAGTCTGGGACGGGCGGGAAAATTCGCAAATTCTCGGGGGTAGCTGATCGCTCACCGAGGATAATAAAGTGACATTCATTTTCTTAGAGCTCCGAGCAGGCTCCGAGCGATTTTCCGTAATTTCGGTTCCAGACCTCGCACTAGCACACCGCGCGCGTATTAAAAATTCAAAATGGCCGCCACAAAACACAAAACACGCGCGATAAAGGTAGGTTCATCTTTTATTCATATTCTAAACGGATGTGAGGGCGCCCTGTGCACAAATACGCAAGAGACATGTCGTTTCGCCCGGAAAACGATTCGGCCGATGATGATCGACAGGACTGAGTCGATTTCCTTGTAAGTCCACAGAAAGTTGTGTTTAATTCGCATTCTTTAGTATACCAAGCGAGAAAGATAAAATTGCGGGCATAATGAAACAAACTGAAAATACACATCATGAGTTGCACGACTGTGGGAGCTTAACTACCAGTCTAGACGAAAGAATTTTCATTCCGGGCGACGCTCCTCCCTGCGAAACAATTGAAAATCAAATACAAGTGAAAAGATTGTGTAAATGAAGGATACTGGCTTGAAGTGATTGACCCTCAGTGAGCTCATTTACTCTCTGAAGCACAAAGGGGGTAACTTCTTTCCCAACAACGCTGGATTCCCTGTTAGAATATAACATGGATAATTAACTGTTTTATATTTCAAGTGTATCTTCAAAGTAAACAAACACAGCTCATTCACTGTAACCTAGCTTCCTTCAGAGCCTGTTGAACTGCATTCTCTATATCCTCTCCAGATGCAGCTTCCTCTTTGTCGATTGGTACAGCTAAAACAATTCCACTACTTGATCCCAGTGATAGATTGGCATCTAAAATATTTAGATTATGATCAGAATCATTTTTAAATCTAGTACTAACTGTAAACCCTCTACTGCTCTTGAGGACTTATTTATTTCAAGCATCGGACAGGAGGCTACTTAGGGACGGTGCCTACTTTTGTTAGTGCGCATACTTTCTGCGCATCACGCAAGGCAAGCGCCACGCGCGCGCTGGGGTTGACATTGACGCAATCAACTACGCTACCAAGTACACGACTAAAAGAAAGCAAAATTTTCCTACTGTGACCAAATCAAATTTAATGAACCCGTACTTAAACCAAGACCACCAAAATAGCAGCATATCGCTAATCACTAACTGTTAACGTCTTCCAGCTGCAAAACTAGCTGTTATCTGTCGCAAATTGTACTGAAATCCAGCGGTAAACATATGTACCTGCAGATGGCGTAGTGCGCGCGCAAAACAAGTACGAAATACGCAAGTGCTTTACTTATTGGGGAGGTGACAGGAAAAAATATAACGGGCACCGTGAAAGTTTTCAAACAAGATCAATGACTTTAAAAAACGCGTGGTTACCCCTATATTTTATGTTATGAAATGGAATTGGCAAGCCTATTCAACACGTGATTAGTTTCTGGTTGTGAGCAAAAGGTATTTAGACTGTATTTTGGCTGAACCAGAGGAAGACTGTCAGAGACGCTAAAAGCGCTGTTGCAACGATTTTGTTATTAAAAACATATCAAAAATGGTTTTTATGTTACCATTTACCATGAAGTTTTAAGATCTTTATGAATGTGTTTGCTTTTTTGTTTGTAAAGGCGAATTCGAAGGAAATCTGTGAAGAAATATCCTCTCCTTCTTTTTTCAGAAAATGCTGATGTCAGCATTTTATGTTGAGATTCAAGGCTAATTATCTCGAAAAAATGCGTGGCTACCCCAGTTTTTCTTGGTGGATTCCAATAGCCCTTGCAAAGGTCTACTTTTTCCACGTGGTCCTTACCTGGCGCAAAATCTTTGTATTTAGTAGGCACCGTCCTTAATTTGAAGTGAAATGCTAAAAGGCTATCACTTCACCACTCCTTTTTAGTGCAGAGTGCACTATTGGGATGGTTTAGGGGGCTGTTGTTCGCTAAGGCACTAAGCCCTAACGCAATATCGCCATAAGGTGTAAACTTTAATGTTTATTTAATTAACTAATTTCAATCAATCAATTAGCCTAGCGGGAAGGGGGGTTGGGTGGGTTAGGTACCCGAGTGCATTACGCAAAACGTGTCACATTTACGTTGCTTTGTTAGGTATTGAGACAAAAATAGATAGATTAAAACAAACTTCGTTATTATTGCCGCAGACTCCGTGGCACTTACTGAAACTTCCAATTAATTTCATCTGTCGATGAGGTGACTCGTTCACCGATGTGGGATATAGTTTCGGTCAAGTAAAGATCTCTACCTTCAACACTTTTCGTTGAAACGCTCCTCAATGCTATTACTCGATAGCATTGTGTATTAGTTTGATGTGGTTTTATTGTTTACACCAACTCGGCTGGCAACGAAATTAGAACGCACTATTCCGTGATTCGACGTGACTATTTGATTATTAGATTAGTTCTTGTTTATCGGCGAAATGAAAATTTACGTTTTGAATGAAACAAAATGGTTCCTCTTCGACTTTTCAGAAGATATTTAACTTTTATATTCCATTTATCTCCGGCAATGAGTTAAAAAAATACACATCTTTCTTATATTTTGGTGGAAACAAAGGTATCTTGTTGCATACATTGGCGAGGAAAACAAAAGTATCAAATTGCAAACGTTGGCGTGAAAAGTAATGCTACAAAATGAACGAAACTCAAGAAAAAATACCATAATAAATTTAAAACCGTCTTGACAAACAGTAATAATTGTAAGTTATTTTTGGGCAAAACACAAACATGAAACATACACACTGCTAAGATTATGTCTCATCAAGTTTTTGTCCGCTCATATTCTGCAAAGGGGAAAAGGCCTAGTTGACTACTAAGGGAGAGAACAGCAGGGGCGAGCACCTGTGTGACTACTGCATCAGAGCCGTAAATTAAACTCTGCACTATCTGAGATTGTCTCACTAGTTAGAATAGTACTCTGATCAATACAGTGGCGAGTTCACGTTCATTTTGGGTTAAGTAGCAGTTTACTTCCCCCAAATCTTGTGAACACTATATATAAGTTTTATTTTCTGTATTGCTAAGGTAAAAGGGCACTGGTAAGATAGTCTGTAGCTTATTGTTTGGGTTGTATTCTTGCCCTAAATCGGGAGTGGGTTGAGGGGGGGGGGGGGGGGGGGAGGTTATTTGAGGAGGAGCTTAATAGAGGTATAAAGGAATTTGTAACTGGCCGACTGCTAGTAATAGAGGCACTTATACATGTACTACACCTAACAATTGACCATTTTTCCTGACAACAACCTGACAACTTAAAATACTGCTGAGCCACCCATCCAGAGGGAATTTAATAGTACTCCAAGTTTTACAGTGATAATAACACGACAGCCTTAGTATTATGCTAGCACTCTTACTAATTAAAACTTGAAGTCTTCCAGAAACTCACCAATTAATTTGGCTGCCTCTTCAGGGGACTGAATACTGCAAGCAGACTAATTGCAAGTGTTCAGAAAACAACAATGTTGATTACTTGGTAGATTACTTGTTTTTATCAAAGCTGTTTCTGTCTTCATAAGAAATCCTTACGAACTGACTAAAATAATTTGTCTTTAGGATTCACCAAGCCAGTGTTACATTCTTATGCACAAATGCAGCAATTTAATTTTTGAAATCAGGTGAAAATTTTCTAAGTTGCTTCAGATTGGAAAATCCAGTCCACCTTGCAACAACTGTGAAAATTACGGTAACTGACGCAAGAAAATATTTGTCATTTGAAGAGGGTCTTCCAGGCATATTTTGTGTTAGATTGCCAAGAAAGGAGGTATACAAAGCGGTTTGTTCCATTCAAATGTTCAAAGTCAGGATGAGAGGTTCAAGTCACACAGGAAAATCTTGGATAGCCTGCGTAGCAAGCGTTTCCGTGGGGTTTGGAAGCAAAGAAAGACCGAGGAACGGGATTTTCGGTGTCTTCTCTGCGCGGAAAATGGGGCGAGAGCCAAAACAAAGAAAGAGGGGGGTGGGAGTGAGGAAGGAAGGAAACGCTTGCAGACAAACCCCTGGATTTTGAAAACCTCCGTTCGCCAGCGAACGGGGCTCGTGATTGGCTGGGCTAGTTCAATATT